AAAATTATATCTTCCATATCCCATCCAACACCAATTACTCGACCTTTACCAAAACCAAATCCTGACACTACATTTATCTGAGATTCTGAAGAAATGTCTCTACCTTTTTGAGACACAAACTCTAGATGTTTACCTTTTCGGGTATAGTTGATTGATGATACTACATTCCACCATATACATGACTTCAAAAGTCACACATTTGTCTTTTCGAACACAAAACCATCATAAACCAAAAGACCTCAAAAGAACCAAACTTTCAATTATCCGTGAATTTTACTGCAAGAAGAGACTAGATGAGGCATCATGGACCAACTCATTGATGATAATTTCGAGTGATTAGGGCATACTCAAAGAAGAAGGGGAAAGTGATTGATTGAAATAATATATCATGCATTAATTACATTTTTTCATGTAAATAAAGTTAATCTTGAATATTCATCCCCCTGTGGATACCTCTTTTTACAAAGGTTTCTGTGTATGAGATGATGAACGGCATTGTTTCATTTATCCTTTAAATATATATATATCCTTTGTTGTCCCCATTTGAGCCTGAATAATGTTTCTTCTAATTCAACCCTAACCAAGGATCACCCTCTACATTAGGGGGCAAGGTAAAGGATATTGGCTCACAAGAATAAAGATTGTCAATACAGTTTTATTACGAAGACAAGTTTCCATGAAGTCATGAAAGTTTTGAACTACAAAGTATGTCAAATACAGAGTGCTTGAAGATCAATCCAATCAAGAATAATGGAAAACCTCCAAAATGCAAAAGGAAAAAGAGGTGCTCAAAGCAATTGAAGTATTATACTCATCCAGCAAAGAAAGAAGAAGAAGAAAAAGAAAAAAAAAAGAAAAAGGAAAATCGAATAAAGATGGGTGATTTATTGAGCCTCAAGTTACAAGGTTGATCAAGTACAAACAAGAAGAGCAAGAAATGCTGGAGATATGAGAAAATGGAAATGAATCCAAAATTTGGCACTCTAGAGGGATCCAGTTGATGGAAAATTCCTCAGCAAGGCAGATCCAAGTCAAACAAAACAAGATTGACGGCATCAGAATGAATTGATCCTTGGTTTGATGACCCTTAAACACTTATTTGGGCCTTTTTATCCCTTTCTTTCGTAACCATAAGCCATGGCCTACGTTACGTACCTGAAAAGTCCATTTTAATCATACATGGATTTCTAAGTAAAAGATGATATCTTTAGAATTCATTCCGTCTTCCAAGATTGATTTTATTTGCAAAAATTAGTTTTTAAAATCTTTAATGCATGATATGAAAAATGATAAAGGTGGGTTCAAGATATAAATTTTTAAATAACATCTTGAAACCAAAGGAGGATTCGAGTTGAAAACCTGAAAAGGCGGCTCGAATATTGAATGGTGCAACAACGACATAAGAGACGATCTTAAGCTCTTAATAAAGCACCACACATCTCAAAAACGTTCCTGAGATTCTGGAAACGAGAAGTATCTCTACAAGATGAGCATAACAACCATTTCTTCAAGTTAGTGGAAGCCCGAAGCGACATACTGAACCAACTTGAAAGAACCTACTTTACCAAAATCAACCTACACCTCAAATCAGTCAATAATTTTGACACTTGCCATAGGACTATGATTTTTGAATGATTTAAAAGCGTAGTTGATTTATTTGATATTCATTAAACTCCTTGTTTATGATTCGATTATATTGTGAACCTGAAAGGGGTAATACTTTGCAAAATTCTTTCATTCTTCAATAAAGAAAGGAGAAAAAACATTTTCAAACAGTACAGTCTCAAATGAGGAAGGTCCTTAAAGCAATTGTTGCTTATTCATTAAACGTTTTTGTATCATGAACTATGTAAGGCGACCGTAGTCGTTTGAGGAAAAAAAGCGGATGTAGCGGATTGTTTAGTTTTGCTCCAATCATGGGCGCGATATCGTCTCCCGTTTATGACGCCTATTACATCCACTCCTATGGAGTTTCCTCTAGCCACAAGGTAAATTTATATATTTAAAGTTTTGATATTTTGTAATATTTGTTGAAATATTTTGAAAATGACAATAAATAATGTAATTTTTTTAGATGGCGACATCAAATAATCAATACAAAGTTGTCGGGTGCAACCAAAGTAGATATTCGGATGAGAATTGATATCGCCGGTAGACATGCGGTAAATTTTCGTATTTTTTGCATTAACTTTGAAATTGTAATATTAATTGTTTAATTATACTAACATAATACTTTTGAGAGTTTAATTGGATGTCTTATTATGAGTCGAATATCCAACGGTGTCTACCGCCAATGTTCTTTAAAGGAGCGGACACATGGTGTGCCATAATACCATTGCTCCATTTCGCAATTGTTGAGATCCATGCCGCCGATAAAGTTTTGCGACAATTTGGGTTTCACCAACAAATAAAAATGTCAATATATAACATTGACGATTTGCATAAAGTAGATGCGCGTGGGAAGCATACAGAAGATTGGCCAAGGAAGCATACTACATTCATATATCAATGGCAAAATAGATATTCACAATTGCCTAATCGTTCTGAGGTACAACTCGAAGATTTTGATTTCAATGTTTCTCTCTACCTCCAAAATTATGAAGCAAATGGAAAATCATACTTGACAACGCCGGAGGAGCGGTTTGAGTGGGAAATAATGAAGGAAAAATATGGGAAAAATCATCTTCATCAACATCTTCATCTTATGCTTCCGTCAATTATTATTCATCGCAAGAAAGTTATGGTGGATATAGTGCATATCAACCATCGATGGAGAGTCGAGCTGCGTGGGAAGGAAGTGGGTGGGATTAAGTGTCACATTCACAATAATTTTCCTCAGAATTGAAAGAAAGAGGTCGTGGGATTATCTTCTTCATCACGGACAATCTCAATTTGAGGCATGACGTCAATGATGGTGTCAAATACCTTGAGTACTCCATCGTTTTCACCCAAAGATGTATATCAAAGTGGTGGAGTAGTGTTCGAAACACCAGAACCGGAAGAAGAGGAAAATAAAGAAGGTGGACGACCACGACGAAATCGACGAGCACCACGTCATTACCATTCTACCACGCCTCGACATCGGCAAGAATTGCGCAAATATAAGTAATAAATTTATTTATTTAAGTTTTTGTAGTCAATATTTAATTATATCAAAAATTGATTTTTAAGTAATAAATTTATTTATTTTTTAAAATTATAATTAAATAAACTGTATTTTGCAAAATTATAAAAACTTTAGAATTGTTTAAATTTCATTGATATTTAATGTAATTAATAAATTTGAAAAAATATTAAAAATTTTAAAATTTTGAAGTTAAAAATAATATGAAACTTTTACAAATTTTTAATAAATTTGAAAAAAAAATATTAAATTTTTAAAATTTCGAAGTTAAAAGTTATATGAAACTCGTAGAAATTTTTAATAAATTAAAAAAAAAACTCACATGGAACTCGTCATGCCGGTGTGACGAGTTCCAACGGGTATAATTTCAAATTTTGGACTGTTGGGGTGACCGTTGTGGAACGGTCAATAATTTTTTAAAATTAAATGGAACTCGTCACATTGAAGTGACGAGTTCCAACGAATATTTTTTTTATAATTTTAGAATAAATAGGAGTTTAGGGTGAAGATTATGATGTATGAGAAGTGACAAAAAATTGAGAATATCAAATATATGGTCGTGGGAAAAATTTGGGATTGATTTGGCTAATGGTGTTTATGGGTTTCACTACACCGACTCAAAGAGCGACGATTCATATTTAAGCTATTTTTCAGATGAAAAGTGGAAAAATGAGACAATAAAGTACATATTTGATTAGCATAAGAATAAAATAAAAATGAAAGAGGAGGAGAATAAGCAGAAGAAGTATGAAGATTTACCGAAGCGGTGTGTAGCAAACGACTAGTTGAGAGGGAAGAACAAATAAAAAGAAGTATAGAAATTGAGAAGAAGAAGATTTAAGAAGATCGAATTATAGAGAGATGTAAAAAAATTTAAAAAATGACACATGTTCAAATATTCATTTGTATGGTTTTAGTTTATGTATGACGTTGTCTTTATTAATTAATTATTGTCTCATTAAAATTCAAAATTTTATTTATCATTAAAATTTGATGTTTTCGTTATCAAATTAAATGTTTGGGTATCCCAAATTAAATGTTTGGGTATATCATATGGGGCCAAATTAAAACAACAGAAGAATGTACATCAATGATCAAAAAATGTATCAGCTGATTAAATTGTTTTAGCGCTAGGCAACTAATGCAAGCTTGAAGTGAGATCAACGAAGACTTCTTCTCTGCAAGGAATTGTGAGACCACCCATAGGATGATTTAATCCGAATTCCTCCTCGGCTACACTTAACAACTTCTGAAACGAAGGCTGGTTCAAGAATGAAATTGGAACTATAAATCTCTTCTTTTGGCTTTCCCCAACATAGACTATAAAACTCTTGAGAAGAAATGGCAAGAAAATTGGCTAACCAAGCAGAGATTTGGGTTTCATACACCGACTCAAAGAGCGACGATTCATATTTAAGCTATTTTTCAGATGAAAAGTGGAAAAATGAGACATAAAGTACATTTGATTAGCATAAGAATAAATAAAATGAAAGAGGAGAGAATAAGCAGAAGAAGTATGAAGATTTACCGAAGCGGTGTGTAGCAAACGACTAGTTGAGAGGGAAGAACAAATAAAAAGAAGTATAGAAATTGAGAAGAAGAAGATTTAAGAGATCGAATATAGAGAGATGTAAAAAAATTTAAAAATGACACATGTTCAAATATTCATTTGTATGGTTTTAGTTTATGTATGACGTTGTCTTTATTAATTAATTATTGTCTCATTAAAATTCAAAATTTTATTTATCATTAAAATTTGATGTTTTCGTTATCAAATTAAATGTTTGGGTATCCCAAATTAAATGTTTGGGTATATCATATGGGGCCAAATTAAAACAACAGAAGAATGTACATCAATGATCAAAAAATGTATCAGCTGATAAATGTTTTAGCGCTAGGCAACTAATGCAAGCTTGAAGTGAGATCAACGAAGACTTCTTCTCTGCAAGGAATTGTGAGACCACCCATAGGATGATTTAATCCGAATTCCTCCTCGGCTACACTTAACAACTTCTGAAACGAAGGCTGGTTCAAGAATGAAATTGGAACTATAAATCTCTTCTTTTGGCTTTCCCCAACATAGACTATAAAACTCTTGAGAAGAAATGGCAAGAAAATTGGCTAACCAAGCAGAGATTGACTGATCTTTAGCTCAATTGACACCACCAGAATTTTATTGTTTAGGAAGCGTGTAAGGCGGATTGTTTTCTGCAATCCCATGCCCTTGTCAACCATATTAATTTTTGTAACCAAAATATAAATGACATTTTTTTCAGAGGAAGTCTTTCGTTTCATGAATTCTGTTTCCAATGAAATTGGAACTATAAATCTCTTCTTTTGGCTTTCCCCAACATAGACTGCAAAGTATCCTTTGGGAACATCCGTTGAGGTGGAGGCTGCATGATTTGCACACAGTTTAGAATGACGAAGAATCATTTTGCATGCATAATTCTTGGCACACGGATAGGAATTGCTGTTAGTAATTTGGAAGTATGAAGAAGATAAGAGAAGAGTCTAAAAACTTAATGGTAAGATTTGCTTGTAGAGGAGGATGTGAGAATGCCTTGTCTGTGGTGTGGATATTGCACTTGTATATATAGATGGAATAAAATATATGGGATTCTAATGAATTGCAGATTGAGCGGTTACAATGTATTATGGTGGGGTTTGGTTAGAAGACATAAGATGCTCAAGATCACATGGTTTTTGTCTTGCAACAGATCAAGAAAGGGGTTGATATTTAGACTCCACATCTGTTGGAATGCACTATTTTCCTGCCATTAATGGACACAACTTGAAATGAAGCAGTTGTCCCGGCGGTTAAAGTAAAAATTATATCAGAATTCTATAACATGTCCTAGCGGTAGACACTGGCATGTGTTGCACGGACTGGCAAGTTGTTTAATTTTGAGTTCAACACAGTCATGTCATAGAACAAATAATAGAAGCAGCTGTGTTCTTCAATCCTAATTATCAGCAAACAAGTGGGGCCTGGAAACGGCATACCGAGTCATAGTTTCCAGTCGATATGATTATTTTGATATTTTCTGGTCTCCCCTTCATATCGACCAAGTGCTTAATTAAGTGAAGTCATCATCTTCTGGTCATGATTCAATGATAATAGTATTTCACAATGGACCATTATTGTTGGTTTCATTGAATGGTGAGCTATAAGGTACCAAACTTGTCAAAACTTTGTTATTTGTTGGGGGCCATGTGATTCTTCACAATTTATGTCTCCAAAGCAATCTCTCTTTACCACCCTGTGCCAAAGCCTTAACTAGTTCTCTAAGTTCCAATATCCACTCACATTTCCTCATCTACCAGTCTCGCAAAAACCATGGGTTTCCGCTTTCCAAGAATTGTTAATGCTAAGCCGAGTCTGAAACGGATACTGACATCTTCAGAGACGACAATGGTGCCTAAGGGCCGCTTTTCTGTTTATGTTGGAGAAGCTGAAAATAAGAGATTCGTTGTCCCTATATCATTACTGAATCATCCTTCATTCCAGAATTTGTAGAGTGAAGCTGAAGAAGAGTTTGGTTTCTATCACCCTATAGGTGCTCTGACAATCCCTTGTAGCGAAGAAGCTTTCGTATATCTCATCCGTAACCTGCAAAGCTCATGAGAAGAACTGATGTGAAAATAGGCTAACCAAGCAAAGATTGACTGATATTTAGCTCTACCGACACATCCCAAATTTTAGTCTTTAGGAAGCAAGTGTGTAAGGTGGTTTGTTATCTGCATTCCCATTCCCTTGTCAACTATATTAACTTTTGTAACCAATGTATAAATACCAAATTTCTTTCAGAGAAACTCTTTTTTTTTCATGAATTTTGTTTATGATGTTGTGTGGATAATTTCAGCCAAAATTTATTCTCCTTGAGCATTTTATTTCACAATCTGCCATTACTTCTCACTTAATCTATTAGACGGATTCCAATAGTTTTCAAGTTTTATAAAATATTTGTATTACAATAATTAATTTTACTTTTACATGGTAAGAGAAAACTAAATTTAAAATTTTGTTAGTCCTGGTTAAAAAGGGTCCTATGCATCATGTTCATCAGAAGAATAATTCGGCTGATCTGCTCTACCGATGCGTGCTGTAATTATAGGTAATCGAATCTTATATGTTCTTCTGGTTTTGCAAATGAGCAATATGAACTGAACATTGGCTTTAATTAGAGGAAATTTAAGAATAGAACCGCTGTGGTTTGTATTAGTAAATTTCTCAGAAGAGTATACATTTCACCATCTGTTTCTACCAAAACAACAGAAGGATGTACATCATTGGTCAAAATTGTATCAGCAGAAGGCAACTACTGCAAGCTTGAAGTGAGGTTAAATGGTTAATGAAGAAGTCTTCTCCACAAGGAATTGTAACACCACCAATAGTATGATTGAAGGTGTTCATGTTCAATTCATGTTTATTTAAATTTTTAATATCATATTCGTGTTCGTTTATTTATTTTTTTAAGGTGTCATTATTCGTTCCTTTAACATTTGCGAACATGTTTATTTAACTCATTTAATATTAGAACACCAAGACTCTTTTTATTCTTTTATTTGAAAGCTAAAGAAAATGGTGAAATTACACAATTAGTCTTTAATTTCCTTAGGTTTTACATTTTGAACTCCAAAGTTCACTTTATGATCAATTTAATCGTTACCTTCACCAATATTTAAAATGTAAAAAATAAAAAGAATGGAGAATTGAGTAATTGAGCTTGTTTGTAAACATAAACGAACCGAACGAACCTATGTTCATGTTCGTTCTTTTATTAAATGAACATAAAAAATTTGTTCATATCAATTTATTTAACTAATAAACAAATATTATATAAATGATTTATGAACAGTTTGTCAAACGCTATATTCATTTATACTATGTGTAGACCACCGTATTTTGTATAGCATGTGTAATTCAATTTTTATTTTAAATTAATTTATATTATATACTTATATATTAAATAGATAAAATAGTAATTAGTTGCCTTGTGCATGTTTCATAAAGTTGGCCCAATAAGTCCAATATAAAGAAGTCCAGACCATTCTAGTTATTTCTTAATCTTTCCCCCTACTAACACAAGTTCCTGAAAATACCAGATTCCTCTTAAGCTTCCTATAAATACTAAACATATCCTATCTTCTTACCATGAAGAAAGCAGTATCAGATACTCGCTATTAGTAGGAATCTCTCTAGTACGAAGTTGTCTTTTTTTCCTACTTTAAGAGAAATGGCGATGATCCCGAGTTTCTTCGGCAATCGAAGGAGCAGCATCTTCGATCCTTTCTCGATTGATGTTTGGGATCCATTAAAGGACTTTCCTTTACCTTCTTCACTCACCACCAGCCAAATCTACGATGCATCTGCATTCTTCAACGCCCGAATCGACTGGAAGGAGACCCCAGAAGCTCACGTCTTCAAGGCTGATGTTCCTGGGCTTAAGAAAGAAGAGATGAAAGTGGAGATTGAAGAAGACAGGGCACTTCAGATCAGCGGAGAGAGGAATGTTGAGAAGGAAGACAAGAATGATACTTGGCACCGAGTTGAACGTAGCAATGGGAAGTTTATGAGAAGATTCCGGTTGCCCGAAAACGTGAAAATCGATCAAGTGAAAGCTTCCATGGAAAACGGGGTTCTTACTGTCACTGTTCCCAAGGTGGAAGTGAAGAAACCTGACGTCAAAACCATTGAAATTTCTGGTTAAATTGGAACTTGCTTACTCTTCAGGTTTGTCAAGTTTTCATATGTTGTTTTGTCATTTTAAAGTGATCAATAAAGTCTCAAATTTGTGTTTGTGCAGTGATTTTGGCGTGTAAGACTATCTATAATGTGAAAAGTATACTCTAAATGTGAAATCTAATTGTTAAATTCATCTGTTTTTTTCCCAACTACGTGTGCATTATGATAAACCAAAGAATCATCTAAGACAAGAAAAAGAGTGTTTCATTAAGATATTGCCTAAGAGGTCTCACATGGTCTTGTCCTCTTGATCTTGTATGCTATTAGGACTGAAATCATGCTGTGGTCTGTTTGTTGACAAACAATGAGTGCCCTTCAATGTTGGAACTTGGACGGGATTTTAGACTAATTGGATAAGAAAAGCAGAAAAAAGAGAGATAAGATGATCTGCAAAACAAAATATATAAATTTTGTTGCAGACAAACAAAGGTCAAAAGATTGGCAGCCAACTCAAGTTTGAAACTCTGTTTCCACTTTCCACAAACTTTAATACTATTCCATCCCTTTTTTTCTCTTAGGAATCATTACCTTTTGGGGTAAATTGGGAAAAATGATAATTTATCAATTAAGTCTTGTTTTAGACCATTCATCTCTTCCATTATGATTGTTTTTTAAGTCTTTGTAAACCAGTATCAAACTTAGAGATAGATAGCGAATAGCTATAAGTCCCGATATTTGTAATGTTGTATTTGGGTTGGAGTAAGGTTTTGATGTTTTCAGTTACCATTAACCATTGCTGCGTCATGTTCATCAGAAACGATAATTGCAGAAATTTAAATTTAATAGTAGGATGTATCTTGTTAAGATGTCCAGAAATTGATTAACAATGCCCCTGTAAATGCGCAATAGCAACTGAACAATGGGATTCACAAATGGAGATTTTAGAAGAGACGCGCTGTAGTTTATGTTAATATAATTTCTCACAGGATTATACAGTTGATCATTTCTTTCTGCCAAAAACAACGGAAGGATGTACATCAATGTTTAATAATTGTATCAGCTGATTAAATTGTTTTTGCACTAGGTAACTAATGCAAGCTTGAAGTGAGATCAACAAAGACCTCTTCTCTGTAAGGGATTGTGAGGCCACCCATTGGTTGATTGAATCCGAATTCTTCCTCGGCTATACTTAACAACTTTTGAAACGAAGGCTGGTTCAAGAACGAAATTGGAACTATAAACCTCTTCTTTTGGATTTCCCCAACATAGACGGCAAAGTATCCTTTGGGAACATCCGTTGAGGTGGAGGCTGCATGGTTTGCAAAGAGTTTAGATGACGAAGTATCTGCTTAGCTTGAATAATTCTCTTAGCACACGGATAGCCATATTGTTAGTAATTTGAAATGTGAAGAAGATCCAAGAATACTTGAAAAGATGAGTTGTAGAGGAAGATGTAAGAATGTATGTATATTGGATAATGCCCCTGTATATATAGATGGATGAATGTATAATGGAAGCTAATGGATTGAGTGGTTACAATGTACTCTGGTGGGGTTTGGTCAGAAAACATAAGAAGTTTAAACACGTGTCTTCCAACAGATTACCAAAAAATAGGTAGATATTGAGACTGTGCATCGTTTAATCCTTTTGTGTCTTCCAAGCACATGCTGACGGTATGATTTAGAATTTAGTAGATATATCTGTGGTATCAAACTATCGATCCACTTGTGATCAACCTAACGGGGCCTCTTCATATTAATTCTGTCCGCAAACTTTGGAAATCTTCACCTTACTTTGTTGGTTTCTGTTCGGATCAGTAGACCTTCCTAGTTTGACTAGTTTGTTTTTTCCTCTTGAAGGTTTTTCCAAGGAGGATGTAAATCCATTCAAGAAGCCTAAACAGGAAAAACCATTCGCTAAAGGCAAATAAATATAAGAAATTCATAGCATGTCCACGAACCAAACACAGGCTTGTGTTTCTTCATTGCAGTAGCTCGTAGGACAAGCCCTTGTGAGGAGAGGCTGAAGTGTGTCCTACAAGCTTGAACTTGTCAAAATGTTATTATTTGATTGGGATGCAAGACCATGTGATGTCTCCCAATAGATGTCTCCAAAGCATTCTCTCTTCATCACTCAAGTTGCATGAGACTGCTGACCATATAAAGCATTTGCTCTTTATAAGTACAGATTCTAATGGAAAGCTTCCCGTGCCAAAGCCTTTCCTAGCTACTTCTCTAAGTTCCAATTCCACACCCTCATTTACTTATCTTAACAATCTCACAAAAACTATGGATTTCCGCCTTCCAAGAATTGTTTACATTAAGCCGAGTCTGAAACGGACTCTTTTATCATCGGAGACAGCGGTGGTACCTAAAGGCCGCTTTGCTGTTTATGTTGGAGAAGATGAAAAGAAGAGATTTGTAGTCCCGATATCATTACTGAAGCATCCTTCATTCCAGAATTTTGTTTTTGGGAAATAAGTGTGTAAGGTGGATTGTTTTCTGCAATCCCATGCCCTTGTCAACCATATTAATTTTTGTAACCAAAATATAAATGACATTTTTTTTCCAGAGGAAGTCTTTCGTTTCATGAATTATGTTTCCGGTGTTGTATGGTTAATTTCAGCCAAGATCAATCTTCCCTGTTCTGAAGCCTTTTACTTCAAATGCTGCCAGTGCCATCGTGTATCACTTAACCTATGATCACTAACGCCTGGTTAAAAAAGCTTCCATGCATTTAGAAGATCTATTTGCATGGAAATTCAATGTCTTTCACTTATAAAAAAAAAACTCTGTTTTCTCTGAAAAATGGGGTCCTTGTAAATGCATCTCATTTCAGCACTACTGCTAGGGGTGTTCATTCGGTTAAAACGGTGGCCGACCGAACCGAAATACCCTTAAACAAATTAACCGAACTTTTTTTTTAACCGTTAACTAAATTGAACTTTTTTTAAGTATTAACCGAACCGAATAAATTCTATTAATTCGGTTAATTTTCGAATTAACCGAATTTTTTTTAGAATTTTAGAATTTAATATTTTTTAATTAAAAAATTTATTTACAATTAATTTAAATAATATCTAATTAATTTGATTCAAACATTTGCATTTAGTTTTGATATTATTTTAATTAATTAATATTGATTTGGGTTTTAAATGAGTTTTAAATAGATTGGACTCTCTTAATATAATAATTTTTTTGATAGGAAAACAGAGAATATGAGTTAAAAACCTATAGATTTTTACAAAATGCAGCAGATAGAGTTGCAGAGCAAACGGTGAAGAAACAAAAGAATAACATCAATGATAGGGAACTTTTATAGCAGTGTTATACACAGTATGCTTGCAGTCGAGAAGAATGCTAATAGACCATGGCGGCAGGTTATAGTGCATGTCCCTAAAGGCAACTTTTACAAATGAATTTGTGTCATAATTTGCAAGGAAGGCGGCGCAACCTCTGGATTTATAATTGAACACATGAGCCTGTAAGTTTAGAATGGAATTTATATTATTTAAGTCTTGCAGACAAAGCAATCGAAAGTAGGATTGAGGTTCTTAGAAATACAAGTTATATTAACCTCCTGATTAGTTCCAAGTTGCATCAGTGTGGGATCTCTAAATACTAAAACTGGTTCACAGAGCTTTATTGCTCTATACAAATCTTTCAAATGGCCCCACTATGGTAAAAGGCATACAGTTCAAATCAAGTAGACAAAAGAAATTAGAAAATCCATAGCAAACTTGGAAAAAAATGCACACTTGATACTTTGAACATACCGTATTCATCGAGCGGAGCATCGTAATCATAGCTAGAAGCAACTAGCAATGAAAGGACCCCAGCAATTCGGCCAAAATTTGTTCCTCCATGATACTTATAACACAAAAGACAAGCATATGAAAACATTCTTCCAGTGCAAATAAAATACCTTAAATTTGATACTTTGAAACAACATACAACAGTATACACTTTTGCCCATGCTCCATGCTTCTCAACCCCTCAAAAGCGTAGCCCCATGCTCCACCTGCCCATCTCGTGCCCATACCTTACACAAATTAAGGCAGAAAAGAATCGATAACTGAGGAGCATATTATGGGGTGAAAAAAATATTAAAAAATATTTAAGGGTTAATTTGTTGCGAAAGACGACTATCGGATAGAGCAAAATCGCAACTGATAATTTGAGAAAATAAAAATGAAGATAAAAGAGACACAAAATTTACGTAGAAAACCCCTAAAAATTTAGGGTAAAAACCACGGGCAACGGTAGAAGAATTTCACTATGAGAAAATAGGAATTACAACCTCTCTCGATCTACCAAGGAGAAAACAATGATAATTCTCTCTTGATAAAAAGGAGAAAATAACTCTCAAGAAACTCTCTAAATTCTCTCTAGTATTTGAAGAAAGCTAGAATGCTTTGGGATGATTTTGAAGCTAAATGAGCTAGGGTATTTATAGTCGAAGTCTTAAGGACTAATTTGTAAATACCTTAAAGTACAATGACTAATTTAAGCTTTTACCATTTTTTTCAACAAATTAGTTGAAACTTTTGACAATTTGCATTGAATGAATTCGGTGCATTAATGCACCGTTTTCCTTGACTTTTCAACAATCTCCCACTTGAAGATTTGATTGGAACAATCATATCTTCACATCATTCTTTCTACCTTATACCTTCATGTTTCTTACGTCTCTGACAGACCACAGGAGGATCGACACCAGGTAAATTTATCAGCATTGATTGCCTTCGTGATGAAATCTGCTATGTTGTCTTTAGTATGGATCTTCTGCATATCTATCGTCCCTTCTTCCACCTTTTCACGAATGAAGTGGTACTGAACTCGTATGTGCTTTGTCCTTGAATGAAATGTTGGATTCCTTGCTAGATGCAAGGCACTTTGACTGTCACAAAACAGAGAGACATACTCTTGATTGTGCCCAAGCTCCTCCAATAACATCTTCAACCAAATTGCTTCTTTATTGGCTTGTGTAGCTGCTACATATTCTGCTTCTGTTGTGGATGTACCCACAACTGACTGCAACTTAGAAACCAAGCTTACAGCTCCATCAGCAACTTTGAACACATATCCTGTTGTAGATTTGTTTTTATCCAAATCCCCTGCATAGTCAGAATCTACATACCCATTGATTAGCAAGTTTGATCCTCCGTAACATAATGCTACATTTGAGGTCCCTTTTATGTATCTTAGGATCCTCTTTACTGTATTCCAATGCTCTTTGCCTGGATTCGCCATGTACCGACTAACCACTCCCACTGCTTGTGCAATGTCTGGTCTTGTGCATATCATAGCGAACATTAAACTTCCCAATGCTGATGCATACGGTACTCGAGACATCTCCATCCTCTCTTCTTCACTGCTAGGAATCATACTGGAGGATAATTTGAAGTTAATAGGAAGAGGGGTAGAAATTGGCTTACAATCTTGCATGCTAAATCGTGACAAGATTTTCTTCAAGTAATTCTTTTGTGAAAGCCAAATCTTCCTATTACTTCTGTCTCGGTGAATTTGCATCCCTAGAATCTTGTTTGTTGATCCCAAGTCCTTCATTTCAAATTCCCTAGCCAGTTGTGCCTTCAATTCTTCAATATGATCTTTGTTGGGTCCTGCAACCAACATGTCATCCACATACAACAGCAATATAACAAAATCGTTATCACCAGACCTCTTGAAATAAGCACAAGGGTCTGCATTAAGTCTGTTGTATCCAAGGCACATAATTAAGGAATCAAATCTCTTATATCAACACCTCGGCGCCTGCTTTAGACCGTACAGAGATTTGTTCAACCTGCAAACCAAGTTCTTCTTTTCGTATTCTTCAAAACCTTCAGGCTGGAGCATATAAATCTCTTCTTCAAGATTTCCATGAAGAAAAGCTGTTTTAACATCTAGCTGTTCCAAATGTAAATTCAATGTAGTACACATTGCCAAGACTACTCGAACTGTTGTTAGTTGAACCACAGGAGAAAAAATTTCATTGAAATTAATACATTCTTTCTGAGCATATCCTTTGACCACTAGTCTTGCACGATACCTCTCCACTTGATCGTCACCATTTCGCTTGATTTTGAAAACCCATTTGTTACCAATTGGCTTCCTTCCTTGTGATAGTCGCACAAGATCCCATGTATTATTTTTATGAAGGGCTTCGATTTCTTCTTGCATCGCCATCATCCATAGTGAAGCATCTGAGCTGTTTATTGCCTCCTGGTATATTGATGGCTCACCATCCTCTGTTAAAAGGTAGTATGCAATATTTCCTTCTATAATATAATGTATGTGCCAATTGAGATGTCTTCTCACATGATCTGATTGATGAGTTGTTGGTGCTTCAGAACTCTCTGGTTCTTGTTCATCATGTGATGGTTCTGCTTCAGAAGAATCTCCTTGTTCAAACTCCTTTTCCACATGTATATGTGTAGTCTCTGACTTTTCAGCGCTATCATCGTCTTCTTTTCTTTGTAGCTTGTCTTCTACAAAGATAACATCTTTGCTAATGATCACTTTGCGGGCAGTGGGATCCCACAAGCGATACCCCTTTACTCCATCAGCATACCCCAAGAATTTGCATTTCCTGGATTTTAGATCCAACTTTGAAATTTCTTGGGAGTTGTACATCACGTACACTATACTTCCAAATACATGGAGGTTTGAATAATCAGCTGGTTTACCAGTCCACATCTCCATTGGTGTCTTCAGCTCTATTGCAGTTGATGGAGCTCGATTCACCAAATAATAGGAAGTATTGACTGCTTCTGCCCAGAATGATTTTTCTAGGCTTGCATCCCTCAACATTGCTCTTGTTCTTTCTAACAAGGTTCTGTTCATCCGCTCTGCCACTCCATTTTGTTGAGGAGTGTTCGCCACTGTGAACTGTCTTTTGATGTCTTCTTTCTTGCAAAAGTCATCAAATTCTTCGCTTGTGTATTCTCCTCCATTATCTGTTCTGAAACACTTGATCTTATTTCCAGAATCAAGTTCCACCCGCGCTTTGAAGTTTTTGAAAGTTAAAAACACATCTGACTTCTTCTTAGTAGGGTACACCCAACATCTCCTGGAGTAGTCATCAATAAATGAGACAAAGTATTTTGCTCCGCCAAGGGATGTAACCCGGTGCTTGCCATATATCAGAGTGAACCAATTCTAGAACACTTTTGCCTCTAGAATTTGATGTTTTGAATTTCAACCGGTGCTGCTTACTTGTTATGCAATGCTCACACAAAGTAAGTGATACATTTGTTAAGCCTGGAAGTAGTTTTTGCTCCACAAGGACTTTCATTCCTTGTTCTGACATGTGTCCAAGTTTCTGATGCCATAGCATTGCAGAATCTGAACTACATGAGGCAACAGAGGCTTCTGCTTCTAGCATAGTCTCTCCCTTCAGCATGTACAAGTTTGCTGCTATCTTTTCGCCTTTCAGCACCACAAGCGCTCCACGGAACACCTTCATGATTCCTTTTCGTGTCTCAATCTTGCTTGCATTATTATCCAACAATCCGTAGGATAATAAATTTTTCTTCAGGCCCTTCACGTGCCGCACATCTCGAACAACTTTGATTGTTCCATCATACATCTTCAATTTGATGGTTCCCACACCAACGATCTCTAAGGCATAATCATTGCAACTATACACAGATCCTCCTGAGATAGGTTCATAATGATGAAACCAATCTCTTCTTGAGGTCATGTGATATATGCTCCTGAATCAATGAGCCATATATCTGCATATCTTTTTCTACCTTCCACGGTGGTTGACGTTTCACAACATAGAGCATCTCCATCATATGAAGTGTTTGCGGTATTGCCTTGTGGATTGGAGTTTTTATTTAGACTCCAACAATCCTTCTTCAAATGACCCTTCTTTCCACAATTCTAACACTTTAAATTCTTCTTGCTCCTCGACTTCGATCTACCATATTTGTGACTGCTGCTTTTGGTCACGTTCTGTTGATCTCCCTCTCATCGTTGTCATCGTTGTCAATGCTTCTGCTTGTTGCAGATTTACTTGTATGTCTTCCTTGTTCTTGCAGCGATTTTCTTCTTGTAGAACAGCAGCTGCAACGTCATCGAAGACTAGACTGGTGACATTACTATTTGTCAAGTTGATGATGAGTTGATCATACGAATCCGGTAGACTTTGAAGTAGAAGTTCAGCACGTTCTTGTTCTCCTATTTTACAGCTTAAGGATGTAAGTTGAGAAAATAAAGTGTTCAGTGTGTTTAAGTGCTCCGTCACTAAAGTAGATTCTGGCATCCGGAGAGTGTACAATTTCCTCTTAAGAAAATTTTTATTGTGCAGCAATGTGGCCTCATACAATTTGGTGAGATAATCATATATCTCCTTAGCTGTCTTCTTCTCCTAGATGCTTGACAATACTTCATCTGCTAATGCTAGATGAAAGTTTGCCATAGCATTCCCGTCCATTTCGATCCATTTGTTGTCATCTGTGAAATCCACCGGCCTTTCACTGATAGCTGCTAGACAATCGTCTTTCCTCAGGATGGCCTTCATCTTTAATTTTCACAATGAGAAATTTCTCTCATTGAATTTTTCAATATCAAATTTCGTTGTCATAGCTTCTTTTACGGATAGCTCCCACTATTTCACTATCGTGAATAGTTCTCTGGAACCTTCAAAGAATGGATAATAACTTCTTATTTTCTTATGTTGGAGGATCCATTTTTTGTGGCAACCACAAAGACAATAAGCAGATATTACACACTCTAATCTAGCTCTGATACCAATTGTTGCGAAAGACGGCTATCGGATAGAGCAAAATCGCAACTGATAATTTGAGAAAATAAAAATGAAGATAAAAGAGACACAAAATTTACGTAGAAAACCCCTAAAAATTTAGGGTAAAAACCACGGGCAATGGTAGAATAATTTCACTATGAGAAAATAGGAATTACAACCTCTCTCGATCTGCCAAGGAGAAAACAATGATAATTCTCTCTTGATAAAAAGGAGAAAATAACTCTCAAGAAACTTTCTAAATTCTCTCTAGTATTTGAAGAAAACTAGAATGATTTGGGATGATTTTGAAGCTAAATGAGCTAGAGTATTTATAGTCGAAGTCTTAAGGACTAATTTGTAAATACCCTAAAGTACAATGACTAATTTATGCTTTTATCATTTTTTTTCAACAAATTAGTTGAAACTTTTGACAATTTGCATTGAATGAATTCGGTGCATTAATGCACCGTTTTACTTGACTTTTCAACATAATTCGGTTAATTCGGTTAATTAACTGATTTTGAACCGAATTAATCGTTAATCGAATATCCAAAAAATCATTAACCGTTAACCGACCGAACTAATTTGGTGGCCGAACTAATTTGGTGGCCGACCGAATTAACCGAACTAATTCGATTCGGTCGGTTAACCGAATTAGTTCGAAAATTTAAACACCCCCTACCTATTTCTTCGCTATCATAGCCTCAGACCTCTTTGTTGGCAGTCTGGCACACTTCAGATAAAATTTGATGACCATTATGCAATCCCAAGCCCTTGTGAACTACAATTACTTTGTAATCATTCTTTAAATGAAAAGAACAAATCTCTTTACCAAACATATTCTTGCCATTGATATTTTTGCTCCGACTAGTTTTATGTTACATCTAATTTGAAAGCATATATTGTTAAGGACTCTACTTATTCTTTATCACAGTGATTAATGATACTCCTGTAAATAGAAATATGAACTAAACAATGGATTTAACATATGGAAATTTGAGAATAGAACCGCTGTAATTTATATTAAAATGATTTCTCAGAAGAATATACATTGCATCATCTCTTTCTGCCTAAAGAACAGAAGGATGTACAACAATCTTTTTAGCAGTGTAGGCGACTAATGGAAGCTTGAAATGAGATTAATGAAGACCTCTTCTCTGCAAGGAATTGTGAGACCACCCATAGGATGATTGAATCCGAATTCCTCCTCTGCTACCTTAACAACTTTTGGTTCTCCCCATCATAGACTGCTAAATATCCTTTAGAACATCAATTGAGGTGGAGGTTGTTTGATTTGCAAACGGTTTAGACCCACAAAGAATCTGCTTAGCTTGAATGATTCTAGGCACACGGATAGCCGCTTCTGTTAGTAATTTGGAGTATGAAGAAGATCAGAGAAGACTCCTGAAAATGAATGATAAGATTTTCTTGTAGAGGAAAGTTAGAAACGAGTCCATGTTTTATATAAGCGAGTTCATTGGAACAATAGTCTAAAGTACTTTCTCATATAGAATATTCCTGTCTAGGCTAATAACATGCCACCAGAGTACAAGTCTATGACAGCAAAGAAATAGGTAGCAACGGCAATATTCCTAAAATGAGATGTTTTTAATCCTACCGAGATATCAGAAAACATTTTTTTATAAGGAATGAGATGAATTTCCATGCAGATAGACCCTGTTAATATATGGGATTAATACATTGTAGGTTGAGTGATAAATGACGGTAGAATTTGAAATAAAAAGCTTCAGAACTTGCAAAATAGAGTTTGGCTGAAATAATCCACATACGACATCAGAAGAAAAATTAATTGAGTTGACAAGGGCATGGGATTGCAGAAAACAATCCACCTTGCTTCCTAAAATAATAAAATTTGGGAGGTGTCAGTTGAGCTAAATATCAATCAATCTCTGCTTGGTTAACCAAATTTCACATCAGTTCTTCTCATGAGCTTTGCAGGTTACAAATGAGATCTATGAAAGCTTCTTTTCTACAAGGGGCTGTCAAAGCATCCATAGGGTAATCGAAACCAAACTCTTCTTCAGCTTTACTCAACAAATTCTGGAATGAAGGATGATTCAGTAATGATATATGAGAACGAATCTCTTCTTTTCAGCTTCTCCAACAAAAACAGCAAAGTGACCTTTGGGCACCGCTGTCGTCTCTGAAGATGAAAGAGTCCGTTTCAGACTCGGCTCAGCATTAACAATTCTTGGCAAGCGGAAACCCATGGTTCTCGTGAGATTGTTAAGATGAGGAAATGTGAGTGTGGAACTTAGTGAAGTAGCTGTGAAAGGTTTGGTACCTTAGAACTCACCATTCAATGGATCCAACACTAATGTCCAATTTTGAAATACTAATATCATTGAATCAAAGCCAGAAGATGACGACATCACTCAATTAGCACTTAGCAGAACCATATTGATGACACTCTACGAGTGGAGACCCAAAAAATATCAAAATAATCCTCTTCACTGGCAAATATGACTCTGTATGACAGGCCCTACATGTTTGCTGATAGTTAGGATTGGAGACCAAAGCTGCTTGTATCATTTATTCTATTACTTAACCATTTTGAACACGTAACTAAGCAACTTACCAGTCCATGTCACACATGCCAGTGTATACCAGTTGATTAACTCATTATAATCAAAACATTGATACACTAATGAAACCCTTTTTAACAATCACCCTGAGTCGGGTTTTAATCGATCGATCCGAATCTTATATGAGTATTATACCCCTCTGTCCATCATCTTACTTGATCCGAGTTTAGAGAAGCTCTACTCAACTCGAAATTCGACCTACTTTTTAGGTAAACTCGCACTTATACTCGACTCGACCTAACACAAATATATATATATATTATTCATTTTTATTAGGTAAATTAGAGACTTAACTGAGAAAAAATATAGAAAGAGATATTATTATAATTATCTTGAAATATATAAGAGATATTTATACTATAATATTCGGGTCGGATCGAGTCAATAATATTTCATCTTAAATTTGAATCCGACTCAATCCCTAACCTTATTCTTAAAAAACTCAACCCAAACTCAAATTCTTTAAAAAAAAATACTTGACCTCATAAAATTGAGTCGAGTAAGAATATGCTGGGTACACGTCTCATCCAATCCCTAATAAAAATACATCTAACAGTTGATAAAAAAAATTGAAATTCACTATTGAAGGCGTTGTAATAATGGGTTCTTGTTGTGAGTACAACAACAAAGAATTGAATCAGGACTGCTTTTATGATAAGTTCTTGTGAGTTACGACATGGGAGAGTTGAATCAATAATCCTGTGAATTCGAACAATGTGCAGATGGTGACAAAGTTGTACTTTTACATCTTTTATACCACTCTCAACTATCAAAATACTTGAATATAAATCTCGAATTAAGAGCTAATAATTGATTATTAATAACGAAAGTCATGGCATTGGCAAACAATGGAAGATCATTGGCAAGGGGTTAACTTGCAGGTGACTCCCCCAGAGCCAGAATTAGCCCTTATGAATCGTAAAGCAGTGATAAGGACGCCTCGGGTTGAACTCATAAGGGCCCAATTCGTATGTGTAACAACACCAACTGAATTGTATGGGAACTGAAGGCTATTGTAGGAATTGAGAAGGGCAGTTGTGGCTTCCCTCAGAAGAGTCTTGTAGGGGTCTCCTATCCCTTCAAGGCTTTCCCGTAGGGTCATATCAGTTCCATATCTCCTAGCAGCAAGTGGCCCGAAAATAAGAGAAACCTTCGACTCGGGGTTCAGTACTCTCCAGTAGCATTGGTACTCCGGCATTGTCCAGTACCTGGAAAAGAAGAAATCCGCAACAAAATCATTGATTACGTCTTCCGAGTTCGATGAATTACTCCCTGCCAACTAACTGTGACAGTATCGTTATGTGCATTAAAATTCCTGTGAATTGTGAAACTCTAGCTTGATAAAAAGTTCTCAAGTCTGATCTGTCATTGTCAGCTTTGAAGTTTTCAGCTCACGTGAATTTAACAAAAGGTGAAAATATGCATTGCTAGCAATGAAATGTAAGCTTGCATGTGTATGTTAGAGCATGGGGGCAATGTTTGCCCTGACCCCGATGGCACATGTAGATCGGATACATCTCAACTCCATGTCCATTATGTGCTAGTAGGCCCTATTGATATAAAAATCCAAGTGTACTTACTGATGTGAACAAGCCGATGCTTCGGAGAAGGGCAACGATGGCATTGGAGGCAATGGGGGAAATGGGGGCAGCCTGAAAGTTGGAGGAGACCCTGTAGGCGGTGCTGGTCCAGAAGGCGTTGTAGGTGTTACTACAGGTGCAGGCACAGGGCCGGATGACATTGGGCAGAACGACATGGGCTGAGCAGGTTCGGAAAGCAAAGAATCCACCCCAAAAATCTCCATGCCGAACATTCTGAACATAAGTCTAAGTTTTTGGGCAGGACCTGCAGTTGCACTGCAGTCATTTGACCCTTCTCCACTACCAGAAACCTGGGCATTGCAGTCACTTAAGTCTGGTGTGCCATCAAATCTCATCAAATAGGTTCCAAATACATTTGTAGTTTCTTCCCTTGACATTGTCACCTGTCCATCACCATCAGTACAGGTAACCGTGACCTTCATTCCTGCAAGACAGAAGTCGATCAACGGATGATTCTTCAGACCATTTGCTTTTATAGTAAACACATCAATTGAAAACAAAGACAGACAAGAAAACTAGATGCAATCAACAATGTGGCTATCTACAACAACTGAGCAGAGATCGAATCAAACGTTACCAGAAAGGGGATAATCGAAAAGGGATCTCTCGCCATCTTTGCATTGGTCACAGAAGACTGCACCGGAGACCATGGCAGCAGCCTGTGTCCCATCTATGGCTGCTGCAAAAATGACCAAAGCTATGAACAGGAGCTTGTGTGCCAAATCCATGAAACTAGGAGAATAGAGAATAAAACAGAAAGCAGGAAGATGATAAAAGTGAAAACTGATGAAGTTTGATCAACACCAATGGATGTCATCTGCACTAGCAAGGTGAAGTAAATAAAGAGTAGTGGTCTGTTGCCCATATTTTCAACCCTCAACTACCTCCATTAATTAGTTCTTTTGAAATTTCAGTTTTAAATTATAGGAACATATATACCAGAAAGGATAACACATTGATTGCAGAGCAGATGAATCTAAGTTACTGTTTCAGAGATCATTAAATGCACTTAATAAGCATGTATTAGAAGATGATGCTGGATTTTCACAAATACTAACTCAAAAACAAAGATCTAAAACTATGTAGCCGAAGAGTAGTAGTAGTAAAGTAATTGTTCCCCAGAATATCCATCTATTCTCTGCTCCCAACTTTAATGATTAAACCGTAAAAGGAGCATAGAAGGGCAACTCATGAACATCTATATATAAATTCTCATATAATTTAAATATTATTTTATATTTTATTAATAATTTTATTTCATCCTTTAAATTTTATAAGTTCATTCTCAATTTTGTAAATTCATCCATGTAATATAAAATTGTATTCTCATCCAGAATAAACTTGCTAGACGGAGGTGGTACATGCTCTCTTGTGTGAAGTACAATTGTTCCGGTGGTCATCGTGATTAGTCCACATATCTCAGAAGAAATACTGCTCACATTTTAACCTGAATAGTCCAATAAAGAAAATCAAGATAAGAGGTGCACTCGGTACTCAATAATTGTTGTTATTGACGGATTTAGATTTTTTTTTAAGATAACCATATACAATACATTAATAATATAAAATTTTTATACAGATAAAGACTAATAAAATTTCAAATAAACATAATTAGTAAAATAAATAAATAATTGAAGATTTCATCAAATTATTTTAATGGAAAAATATTATCCTCTCTAGGCATCTTGAATTAAAAAAATAACAAATAATTTACGACTATTTATATTTTAAGATAAACACTATCTACCTTAGATAATATATTGATCCACCGCTAGTTGTTGTGATGCTCAACAGTGATGAACGCAGAGAAAAATATTCATCATGAAATTAAGCAGAGAAATTTGGGTTTCCGCTTTCCAGGAAGGAAAAAAAGTGTGGAAATTAACAATTTGGTAAGTAATCATTGTCATTATTGCTAAATGGATGCATTTTAAAACTGTCTAAAAACCGATTATATTTCAAAATCATTGCATGCTTTCACTGTTTGCTTTATTATATAAAATATGAGGGGGAAAAACCATATGGTTATAAGTGCAAGCGGTGGTGGGACGCCACATATAACACAGTCTCCCTACACGTATCGTCTTCTTTGATTTACAACCCGAGGCTGTGGATCAATCTCCCATGGCATAGTGGACCATATATCCTTCACAAATTGTTTTGGGTAACCGTAAAAATAAAAAGGTATATTATAAACTGCATCCCTCATGATTTAAATAATTAACTAATTTTAATCATCTCAAAAAAAATGTCAAAATCCAAAATTTTCAAGTTCCCATCCTCTTTTCCTAACCGTCTACCCTTAAGATTAAAATAAATTTTGACCAATAATGATTTCTACAAGAAGAGAAAACATAGAACAACTAAAATAGCCAATAAATTCTAACCAAAAACAAAAGAATAATGAGTTGAATAACCAACTTATCCGAAAAAGAAACTAACCAAAAGAAAAATATGGGTAGTTTACCATAAAATCAAAAGCCCGTAGATAAATTGGATATTTTTATATTCAATTTTTGTTTTCTAGTCATTGTCTACTTCTACTTTGCTGCCGGTTTTCAAATTTCATTTTAAAAGATCCAATTTTCCACAGTTGACCGAGATTTCAAAAATTACACGACGGTGACCGAATACAAACACCTCGATTTATACCGTCAACGCCAGATGGCTAATTAGTTTCATCTCCTTCAGCGAAATCATCACACTAAATTAAAAGAAAACAGCAAAAATCTGATGAAGAGAGTATCTTATTTAATGATAGTTCATCATAAAAACTACATATAGCAACTTCTTGAAAACCACCGAACCCAGAGAAAAGCAAAACAGATCCATGAAAACAAGCCTAAAAGACGGATATTAAAAACTCTAAACATCAAACAACAGTTTAAACGACCAAGTTTAATGCTTTTTTTCCCTAAAAAAGCTGTCCACAATCAGCTACCACAACAGGCTTAGAGGTCCTTCCACCGCTAGACCCAACTTTCTCGATGGCTCTAACCACGTCCATGCCTTCAACCACTTGTCCAAACACCACGTGCTTTCCGTCCAACCACTCGGTCTTGGCGGTGCAGATGAAGAACTGAGATCCGTTGGTTCCGGGTCCAGCATTAGCCATTGAGAGAACACCGGGACCGGTATGCTTCTTGATGAAGTTCTCGTCGGCGAACTTGGATCCGTAGATGGATTCGCCTCCGGTACCGTTTCCAGCGGTGAAGTCGCCTCCTTGGCACATGAAATTAGGGATCACGCGGTGAAAAGATGAGCCCTTGTAGTGGAGGGGCTTGCCAGATCTCCCGGTGCCTTTCTCCCCGGTGCAGAGGGCACGGAAGTTCTCGGCGGTGCGAGGAACGACATCGGCAAAGAGCTCCATCACAACGTGTTTGGTTAAAGGAATAAAAGATTATTGGAATGTATATTTGACCAAAATTGTCTAATTATATATTTGTGTAATATTACAAGTTGGAAAATATTTATATATTTTCTTTAAAAAAATTAAATTCATAATATTTATATATTTTTTACAAAATTAAAAATAAAAAAAAAGTTTAATGAAAGGGTAAAATTTTATTTAAACCCTTGAACTTTATATAAAATTTTAATTATAGATTTTTTTTTGTAAATCTAAAATAATTTAAGGATAAATTTGTAATTTAACATTCGTAAAATTTTTATTATTCGATGACAGAATAAATATTTTTGAAAAAAATAAAATTTAAGGGCATTTTAGTCCAAAACGCCGGTAATCCAACAATACCTAAGGAAAGGGAGGTAATGACATTCCCGGTAATATACCCCAAAAAATCCACTATTGGTAATCTTACATTACCGGGAATGAGATTCCCAGCCAACCAAACATGGGAATGTGGGATTCCCATCCCATGGGAATCCCACATTCCTTGAACCAAACACCCCCTTAGCGGTATTGACAGATGGGGGAGCCAATTAGCCAAACGACACCGTTCCCCCTATTAGTAAAGCAATAGGTAGCAAGAGTTTAGTTCTAATTTTGATGGGCCTTCTGAATTTTACCAGTCCACTAATAAAAGGGCTTTATTAGAAGAGATTATTACAAAAATTAAATACTATAAAATGATATTTATGTTTTTTTTCTTTGATAATAACATATCTTAATTTTTTTTTAAACTATTCCTTAATTTTAAATTTTTTATTATCATATTTTATATTAATTTAATTTTTTTTGGATAAAAATTATTTCAAATATTTTTTTTTTTAAAAGTAAGGAGATAATTTATTTCAAATATAATTTATTTAAAAAAATTAATGTAATATTTTTAACATTTGGTCATAAATAACTATGTACTCCTTTATCATATTCAAAATTTTTTTTTTTTTGAAATTTTGTATTAATAAAATTTCTATTAATTTGAATATTTCGTAAAGAGATAATTTATGTTAAACATAAATAAACTTATCTTATCCAATTATTTTTGGAATTTTAAAGATTTTTTTAAATATATATATATATATATATATATATATTAAATATATTAAGTAAATATTCTATATGGTTACTAAACAGTTAATAATTAAAATATTGAAAAATTAATTTTTCAATAAAATAAAAAAACTCAATGATTCGATCACACCCTAAATTAATCTTTATCTTATTTTGAGTTATTTAAATTTCATTGTTTAAAATTAAAAACTATCCAAAATTTATAATATAATTCAACGGATAGAGGAATACCGAATACCTGAACCTCTCCCTCCTTGTGACCTTATTTTAGCATTCTATGTGTGCAAACATTTGATATATTATATTCCATTTATCTTCTCGGTGAAACCTAGGGTGTCTCACCACTACCTGTTATATTATTATTATTATTATTATTATTTAATTTATATTTAATTAATTTAAATGGTATATTACTCAGATATATAAAGCAATACTCTTTTAATCTAATTTATTTCATTCACATCTTAAAATTTTATTTTAATGTATTATCCATTGTACGGACCAAATAATCCACTTTCTGCTCCTCTTTTCCTGGGTTATACCTCCGCCATTATTTTTTTAGTTATTACATTGATTCAATGATCTTACACACACAGCTCAACTAGAAGCAAAATTCGAACTAAAATAACACATCACTTGGTGGGGTTATCTTTGTGAAAGATTGTCCCGAATCAATTTATAAAAAGAGAAAACGTATTGCAATTGCATACATCCAATTGAGCACAAAAACTAAAAAGATATACGTACGCCGTAATGGCAGCATTGGAATATCTACTGTCATAACCATTTTTTAGGAAAATAATTAAATATTATTTTTAAAAACAATTATGACTTTAATTTGGAAAAATGGGTGATTTTGCATTGATTTGAATAAAATTAAAAAGAGTCGCCATCAACCTTTGGGTTAGGTAGGTCGAATACCTAAAAACGTCTTTTAAAACAATTTAAGAAAAATCATTTTTTAAGACAAAATTCGGTCTGCGTTACCAAAGATTCATTTAAATGATTCGGAGTCGATTACGTGGGGAAGGGTAAGCACCCACAACGCCCAAAAACTGGTACTGTGTCGCTTACATGTTGTCGTAAAATGGTGGAAACTATAAATCGAATATAAGTTAAATTACGATCCATTTATTGAAATTAATTAATTTACTTCGAGTTAACTATTTAAAGAAAATCCTTTAACTCGATAAGAAATCTTGAAATTTGCAATCCTCCGTCGGGAAAGCTATTTCAACTATTTCTCTTTTGTAAAAGAATATTCTACCATTGATTATGTAAAAAAATTGCGAATCAAATATAACTAAAAACGATGTTTACATACGGGTAAATTGATTAACTAAAAACGTGAATTGAATACAAATTAAAAAATTTGAAATTTACATTCACATAAAATAAATTGTCACTTAAAATAACACACATTGCATCGTTTGAACAAATTAATTAGCAAAAATATACTCGACTTATTTCAAGTTTCTATGTCGTTAAAATGCGTACCGGATCACACCACTTCGATCAAGTGGTACTTTCCACGCCCATTCTACGCATAGTGTTCTTGAAAATATAATCGAATATTTCTTACATAGATAAAGATATAATGAAAATAAATGTAATTGGAAATACAAAAATAAAATATTTACATTAAATGAAATTGAAAACATTATTTACATAATCCAAATAATTAAGTAATGAGTAAAATACACATCCATACATAAATGTCTAAAAATAAATTAGTAAATATTACAAACCAAAATTAATATAAACATTTAAGAGGCTAAAATAATATAAACAGAAATTAGGAGGCTAAACAGCAAAAACAGAAAGTTAATGGACCAAAAAAAAAACACTAACCGAATTAAAGGACTAAATAAAAAAATAAAAATAATTTAGAGCCATATCACAAACATTAAACAGTCAAATACTAGAAGTGAAAATAACCCAAAAGTAAAGCTTATGACTAAATTGAAATTTCACAGAAACATGGAGGATCAAATAGTAATTAGATAAAATGTCAGACAGTGACCAAAATAGAACATTTGCAAGTATGATGGCTGAATTCAACATCCACAAAATATCACAATACAAGAACTTAGGACTAGACTGAAACTATTACAAACATAATGTCTAAAAGTCAAATATTCACAAAAATGACATAACATACATTAATAGGACTAAAATAAAATATTTAAAAATGGGATGGCCAGATTCGAATATCAAAGAAAACATACATGAATATTAAATCAGTGGCTAAGATGTAACATTTAAAAATATTGAAACCAGAACCAAATATAAACCAAAAAATGTTATAATACCTAGGATAGTGACTAAAATGAACCTAAAAGAAAATTTAAGCCTAAATCAAATATTAATCCCAATCGAACCCACAAGCCAACATAAAGGACGAAATGAAAAGGATACAAAACAGATAACCAAAATCATAAACCTCACCGAAATAAAAACTAAGAACAAAGATGGACTAAAATAGAAGGCAACCCAGTTTAAAGACTAAAACAAATGTTAATAAATTCCATAATATACATACAATGATCAAAATAAAATTAATCACAAATCAATAAACCTGAATAGGCATAAAACCAAACTAACATTACAGAAAATTTAAGGACTGAAATAAACATTTCACAAATTCCAGGCTTGATATAAAAATTGTCATAAACATCAAACATATGTTAGGACGAAAATAACAAGAAATAAAAAGGAGACTCAAATAGAAAAACTGAAACCTAAAAGACTAAATAGGAATTAAGCCATACACAAGCCAATGGCTAAAATAAAATATCACAATATAGTGACCAATGTCAAATATTAACAAAAATAACTTAACAAATAATAAAAGGACTAAATATAAATAAGGAAACATCAGAATCTGAAATCAATAAATGAAACTTCATTTAATGGCTAATAATACGGTTACAAAGCATCAGGGACCAAAAGCGTAGTTACCCCATGCGTGAAATTACAGAACTCGTCCCCTCAAAACGACGCCGTTTCCCACAAGCTATAAATAGCCCAAATATCTCCTTGAACCGGCCTGCTTCATTTTCCCTTCAACATGAGAAAGGGAAAGAGAGAGAAGAGGAGAGAGTGAGAGAGAGATATCTAGAAATCTCTCTGGAAACGGCGAGATTCCGCCGTGCGGCCGTGCGGCGGCGGCCGCCGCCGTACGCCGGCGCCGAAGGGAGAGAAAACGACACTATTCAAAGCGTCTCCAGACCCTGAGCAAGGATCTGGCCTCCGTTTGGCCTAAAAGTGGCTCAATCACAGTGGATTAGGGGAGAAACCTTTCGGTTTCTCCATCTCCGGCGACCGGTTTTCATCGGTGTTCGACCAAGGTATGGTCTCTATTCTCTCTCTTTTCCTATCTTCTTTTTTTTTATGTTTTCTCTTTCTTTTTCTGAACCCGAATGGTCTCCTCTTTCTTCTCTCTGTTTTCTGATTTTTCTGATTTTTCTGTAGATGACGATGGTGGCGCGGAACGGCGGCTGGACCATCGGAGTGGGCCGGAACAGTGACGGCGGCGCGGCTGGAAGTCCAACAGAAGCGGCGGCGGCGGCTAAATATTTAGGGTTTGAAACCCTAATTTTTGTTGGGCTCGTGTGATGGGCTCGGGTTAAGCCTAGGTTGGGCCTTGTTGATTGGGCTTTGGCCTGCAAAAAAATATGTAATAATAAATAATAATAAATAATAAGATAACGATAATAATATAATAATAATAAAATAACGGAAAAAAAAACCCGGACAAAAACGGGTTGTCCACAGCTGCCCCTCTTTGCACATTCTTGTGTTAACAAGAATAGGGCAAAGACGACAAAAAACACGTTTTTGTCTGGTTCTCCTCCTTCTTAAACTTAGCAATTGGATAATGTTGGTTGTTGGGGACGACACTGCTCATACGTAGA